CAAAAAAAAAAACATTCAGTCTAAGGCCTAGGCATCGTTGAAGGGGTCCAAGTCATTAGTAGAGACTAGGGGTCAATCCTATACCCAATTTTTAAAATAATAATGGTATACAAAGCTACAAAGTTTAGTATGTGTTTAAATGTTAGTTAGGAAGCACAAACACAAGAAGAAATTACAAAGTAGTACACTGCAAGGACTCACGGGAGAGACTAGACAAGTAATCAAACTTCAAAATAATCCTGTTTGGTCACATCTGCTACTTCACCTGCTCTCACTTCCCTTTTCCATCTATCCCATCGATTGCATCTCCTTCCCACAGAGTGACTGTCAAGTTGGCTTTGTACCATTTTCTTTCAGCATGCTTCTTACACTTGGTTGTATGTTAGAACCATCAGGGAAACTTGGGAACCTTCTGATGCCTGGGCACCAATCCCACAGACTATGATCTAATCGGTCCTGGGCTTTGGTACTTGTAAAAGATCCCCAAGTGGTTCCATCATGCTGCCGAAATTGAGAGCCACTATCTCACACACCTGTCTGATCAATTCTTGTGTTCCTGGGCTCTTTGACTTAAGCTCCTATTGCTTACTGTCCTCAAATTCTCTCTCCTTTCAAATTCACAAGCTGAAACTGTAGGCTGATGAGGAATACATGAAATCATTTCATGATCAACTTCCAGAACAAACTGGAATGAGGTGAGCAAACATAAGTACTGGCAAGATATACCAAGTATTTAGCACATCTCACCTCTTGTGGAGAAATTCAGAAAGCACAGAAAAGCACTGGGTGTGACTCTTAACTTGGTCTACTGCTTAATTTTCATCAACCTGGTTATGCTTTCTGAATCTCAGTTTCTTCATCTAGAAAACAGGAAGATCTTCCATTTAAAGCTTAATCATGTAACTATTCAATGTGTTTAAAACAGTGCTCAACATGTAGTAGATGTGCAATGGTGATAGCTACTTAAATGGAAAAAAAGAAACAGTTAAAAACCTGTTCACTGATTTTGTTCCAAATTAATAATAATTACCATGTATTGAACCCATTTATCTAATCCTTTATTCTTTATCCATTACACAAATATTGATTACTTCCTGACATTATATCAATCACACCGCTAGAATTAGCAGTGAGAAAAAAGAAACAATTTCTTTTGATTCATCTTATAGCTCAGTTAAATAGTTTATCTATTCCTGATATTGATTTCAAACACTCCAGAGACTGAGCTTGGTAGTGAGCTGGTACAAATAACAAACTTCCTGCCACCCTCACAGAAAAATGCACGGTGATGTGCTAGCGCTAGAATGTTCAGAGCAACTTGCATGTAGAAACACACTAGAGTTTCCTAGCACTCATGAAGAACCAAGGGCTTATAAAAATTTATGAGTATATCAAAGGGAATAGCTCCAAAACACCTGATGGGTTTGGGCACTCCGTTCAGCACTTTTATTAGTAGTGGTATATCTTTCTGCGTTTTCAAAGACTTGAGAAGCTTGGTCCCTTCATCTTTAACTCACCCAACTGATAGTGCTACCATGCCTCCCATAATGTGTAGCTTTCCATGTTTTCCAAGTTCTGTGGCTTATCTACAATAACAGAACTGCATTCTTTGCTTAGGTCTGCTTTTATCTTTCAATCACTTATTGTCAGGACTGAGATAATAGTGTCTCTTATAACAGTCCTACAAGCTGGTATTATTATCTGTATTTTACACATGAGACTTAAACAGCCTAACCAAGGTCATTGAACTGGTAAATGGCAAAACAAAGGGGGAATCTCAGATCTCTGTTCTACAAGCTCCTCCCCTTAACTTCTGTCTTGAATAGACAATGCTCAGGTGATTGTGCTTTAGAAATAAAGATCTCACAGTTCAGAGAATTATTTATAAAAAAATGGAGAATAAGAACAGATAGAACGAGAAGATGATGTGACCAAACCTAATCTAACTTTGGCCTATGGGCCCTTTATGAAATGATGTTGGAGACTGGAGTCCAATAAAGAATTGTGTCCAGTCTGCCTGGTGATCAATCAAACTTGCTGGTACTTAATTTCATAACATCCCCTAGATTACTGCCTTCATGATTCAGATTCCCATTCCTTTAAAGTTGCAGTTGTGACTCTTTTTGCCAGGCCAGAAATAGAATAAATGAAGCCAAAATAGCACTAGTAGCAGCAATTTGTAGATTGTATAAATCTTTGCTGATTCCTGATAGCCTTTCCCCACCTTCAGTATAATGGAAACCTCTCCACTGATGATGCATGAAGAAGATCATATGTAAGTGCAAATGCTCTGAAGCTCACATGAAGGAAATAGGCTTCGTCCACCTTTTCTGCCCTCCTGGGGTATGTAGTATGCATGGTCTACTGTCTACAAGCTCATAGTTGCTGCCTTTTCAGCTCTTCCATTTAGAACAGAGCCTATTGGTGGCCTTGTTTAGGTTAATAAAATATGAACTCAACCTCACTCTAAGAACACATGCTTAGTCAGATGGCTACTAAGTCCACAAAGGGTCAATCCCATTCACTCTTTACTGTTAAATTCAGTCTATATGTTAAATGCTACTGAACAGCAAAATGCCATGTTATTCCATATATATCAATCATTGTATTATTCTTACATCTATGTCCTTTAATGTGTGTCTTTACAGTCCTTTCCACTAGGGATCAAGTTCATGCTCTCTCCTTACTGACATCTGACTTAAATGTGACTTGCCAGCAGAAGGTAAGAAGCTGTAACCTGAGGAAAGGCCTTAATTGTGCATGTGAAGTCTGGGCCTTCATGAGATGGAAGGCTCCATGTAGTATGTTCTTCTATGTGCTCATCTAAGTACAGTGAGGGAGACTAAGAAACAGTCTGTAGGTCAGAGCCAAGCTAGCTCACCCTGCACACAGACACAATGAGCTAGAAATAAGTGTGATGGCTCTATATCTTTGAATTTGGGGATGAGCTATTATACAAATTGTAGCAATAGATCACTGATATCTCTCTTTCCTTGACAGTTTACAATTAAGCTTAAAAAAAGAAGAAAATACTAAAAATAAAAACCTTCTGCTAGGACTTGGGCAAGCAAATGACAGAGTTTACTACTGTAGAATGTGGGCCCATGTTTTTTCTTTATCTGAGTTACCCCTCTGCTTTTCCCTTCATGAGGTAAAGTTCACATAACGTGAAGTTCTCCATTTAAGAGATATTTGTTGTCATTTAGTACATTTATAATGTTTTACAACTATCATGTCTATTTAATTCTAAAGTATTTCCATTATCCAAAATAATATCCAACATTCATTAAGCAGTTACGCCTAATTTCTCCCTCCCCTTAGCTCCTGGCAGCATCAATTTGGTTTTTGTTTTTTAGAGATTTAAGGATGAACTGGATTGTGTCTCCACACAAATTTATATGCTTGAAACCCTAACCCTCATGTGCCTGTATTGAAAATAGGGCCTTTAATGAGATGATTAAGATTAAATGAAATCATAAGGGTAGAGCTTTGACTCAATAGAACTGATGAATTTATAAGAAGATTATGACACATTAGAGCCCCTTCGCTCCCCCCTGAGGACACTGAGGAAAAGACAAACTTCCGACATCAGGTAGAGAGCCTTTTTTTACCAGAGCCCAACACACTGGAACCCCCTGATTTTAGGCTGCCTGTTTCCTGCACTGAGAGAAAACATTGATGTTACTGCAAGCATTCGAGTACAAGTGCTTGTTTGTATGTCTGTTTTCAATTCCTCTGGGCATATTCCTAGGAGGGGAATTTCTGAGTTATAATGTTTCTTGCAACTCTGAACTTTTGATACTAAGATTCCTGAGGCTGTTTCTTGGATCCTAAAAAGGAATCCTCTGTTGCATTCTGTAAGATAATCCCAAAACATGTTAGACAAAGTTCTTTGGTGTCTTAGCATAGGCATCTCTTAATATGCTAAAGTAGTTGCTATTAACTTGCAAGCTAGATAACCTAAACAAACATAGAATAAAATTTCTATGTACATAGCTTTTGAGTTTTTCTGCTCATCTGATAAAATTATCCTAGATGTATACTAATTATTGCAAATGAGGGAAACCTTGGGACCTATATTTCTTTGAGTCTGGCTGACTTCACTTAATATGATTTTTTCCAAATATTTCCTAACAAATGGGATGATACATATGACCATATAAGATGATGATAAGTGAAATGCACCCCAAGATATGAACACAAGAGGTCTTTCTTTGTTGCTGTTGTTGTTTTAAATGTACTATGTGATTTTTTTTATTTTCTTTGTATGTTCTTCCCCCTATGGTATATCCTCTGTTGTCACTATAATTGATTTTGGTATCCTGCATCTTGAATATACATTTGTCTAATTTGGGGAGGGGAAGGGGAATTAACAAAATGCTGAAACAAGGACATGGGATGATCCATTGCAACAATGATACTCATAAGACAGTATATTGGAAATTAACTTTACAACTTCGGGAGGGGAGAGGATTGTGCAAGGTGGGGGAGGGAAGGGACAGTGGGAGAACAACAAGGGAAGGGAGTAACAATGTTCAGCAAGAAATGTACTCATTGCCTTACTCATGTAACTGTAACCCCCTCCCCCTATTCAGCATCTTTACAATAAAATAAAAAAAATTGGGGGTCCGGTCATGGGGCCTGGACTCTGGGCCTGGGCACTGTCCCTCAGCTCTTCAGCTCAAGGCTAGCGCTCTACCACTTGAGCCACAGCGCCACTTCTGGCTTTTTTTTTTTTGCTTATGTGGTGCTGAGAAATCGAACCCAGGGCCTCAAGCATGCAAGGCAAGCTCTCTACCACTGAGCCACCTTCCCAGCCACAATAAAATAAAATTTTAAAAAAATTCTACATTTGGGGAGTGATATTAAAAGTGTGCTCAAAACTTCTCTTTGAATGTTTTCCAGTGGTGTGATTCATCCTGTTGATAATAATCAATTCATACCAGAATTTTAGTAAGAGTCTCTTTTATGGTAAGACCGGTGTTCACATCACCACTTACCTTTGGGGGCAGGCAGCATAGGACCTCGCATTTAGAGCATATTCCAACTCAAAACGGCTCCTCAAAGCTGTGACATGGCTCCGTCCAGGCCCTCCCTGGCCCACCAGGCAATCAGAAGAAGAAGAAGGTAAGAGAGACCCACTGCTGTTACTCGATGCGGGAGACATCAGCTGAGTGAAAGAGGAACTTAATGAATCATCTAATAAGTCCAACAGGCAAAAAAGGCTTAGTATATGGAATTTATTTTACTTTTCTATTCCAGTATATCACATATTTTAATTTCTATTCATCCCAGCTTGCTCTGGCTTTTCCTTTCAGCTTCTCATGGCAATAATCTAGCTTAATTTTCTTTTGTTAAAGTGCTTTTCATATTTATTTTGTTAGCTTTCATTAATTATATGGGGAGGGGGATTTCATTGTTATAGTTCCACACATTTACAATATATTCCAATCAGTCCCACTTCTTCTTTCACTCTCTCATTCCCTTTCCCCAAATTAATTTACTTTTTGACCTAGTTTACTTTTTTTAATGAGTTTTTTATTGTGAAAATACTGTACAGAGGGGTTACAGTTACATGAGCAAGGTAATGAGCACATTTCTTATCAAGAATTGTTGCCTCCTCCTTTGTTTTTCCCTTACCATTCCTTCCCTCCCACCTCCTCAACTACACTCCCCCCTCCCACCCTCCCACCTAAACTTTGTAAAGTTCATTTTTCAACATAGTGTCTTGTACATCTCATTGTTGCAATGGGTCAACCTGTATCCCTATTTAAACATTTTCTTTTTCCCTTCTCCTCCCCCAATTATACTGACATCAAATACAGTGAAAACAGGGGTTATACTGTGGGGGAGGAATATACAAACAACAAAAAAATCACATTTACCTTATAAATACGTTCGAAACAATATCAAGCAAGACAAAAACACTTGTATCCCTATCTTGGGGTTCATTTTGCTTAACTTCATCTTATCTGGTCATATGTACATAGCTTTTGACCTTTTCTACTTATCTCAGACATATACTAGTTATTGCAAATAAGGGAAACCATGGACCTATGTTTCTTTAGGCCTGGCATACTTCACTTAATATAATTTTTCCAAGTTTTTCCATTTTCTAACAAATGGGGCAATGTCATTTTTTCTGATGGAGGCATAGAATTCATATGTATACCACATTTTCTTGATCCATACATCTACTGAGGGGCATCTGTGTTGGTTCCATATCTTAGCTATGGTAAATAATGCTGCAATAAACATAGTTGTGCTGGTGGCTTTAGTGTGGTCTTGTTTGTAATCATTTGGGTAAATGCCCAAAAGTGGGATTGCTGGGTCATAAGGGAGCTCTATGTGGAGAAATTTTGGCACAAGCCAAAATGTTATTAATAGAGAACACAGAAAAACAACAAATCAAAGAAAGGTTGGACAACTGGGATTGCATGAAATTTCAGAGTTTCTGCATGGCAAAGGACATAGCTAGCAAGATTAATCAAAAGCCCATGGATTGGGAGAAGATCTTCATAGCCATACAACAGATAAGGGTCTCATATCTAAAATATACTTGGAACTCACAAAATTAAATCCCCCAACAACAAATCCTCAAAAAATAAAACAACTGCCTGATTAATAAGTGGGCTAAAGACTTAAAGAGAAACTTCTCTGAGGAGGAAATAAGAATGGCCAATAGACACAAGAAGAAATGCTCGACCTTTCTAGCCAAACAACATTGAGATTCCACCTCACCCCAGTTAGAATGGCTATAATCAAGAACTCTAATAACAACAGATGCTGGAGGGGGTGTGGCCAGAAGGGAACCTTACTACATTGTTGGTGGGAGCGTAAACTTGTTCAACCAGTATGGAGGTTCCTCAAAAGACTCCACATTGGTTTGCTTTTTTGACCAACTTATTTTGAGATTGTTTGTTAAACTTATTGTCATGCTTTCACAAACAATCCAAGACAGATTTATAGCATAGGTATTTTAAAAGTTATTATTCAATGATTAAAAGATTCTCAACAATCTTCATTATGGCAGCAAAATTGCAGTTGTAGCTAAAATTATCCTTCTGATGTAATAGGGACTTAAACACTTTTCCTAGAATACTTATCATTTCATAAGATGAAGCATTCTTTATTGCAGTAACAGGGTTCTCACAAAGAGAACCAAGACAATTCCTTGGTGACATGATAGCTTAAAACTACCTGTTTGACAACTCATCTAATGACCCCTTCTGCATGGTAAGCATCACTGATTCCTCCAATTGTTCTTATATTACACAATTTTCAATTTATTCACTATTTTGAACTCTTCTAAAAAAGTGAATCTCTGTTATCATTCATTTAAAAGGATCAGAGATGGAATGATGTGCCATTTTGGTTGGCCATGTCAGAACAGGAAGTGATCTTATCTTTTGTTCTGTAACAAGACAACCACTTTCCATTCCACCTGCCAATAAGCTGATTCTTCTCTTAACAGTCATGAAGTTTCTAAGCTACATCTCTGTCTCCACCACTTCATACTTGCACTATTGTTTCTTTCATTCTGGGCACAGCATCCTATTATTCCTGTTAAATTTATACCAACAGACATACTTGTTGCTTCATCCCTCAATATATTCTAGAATCTTGCTTCCAACTATTTTCTGTCCTCTCACTGTGAGGGACATCTCCTTTTTTTTTTTTTGTCGGTCATGGGGCTTGAACTCTGGGCTTGGGCGCTGTCCCTCAGCTCTTCAGCTAAAGGCGAGCACTCTACCACTTGAGCCACAGAACCACTTCCTATTTTCTTGTGGCTTATTGGAGATAAGAGTCTCACAGACATCCCTGCCTGGGCTAGATTTGAATGGAGATCCTCAGATCTCAGCCTCCTGAGTAGCTAGGATTATAGGCGTGAGCCACTGGCACCCAGCTGAAAGCTCCTTCTTGACCTTGTTCTAAGTGACTGAAAAGTGGAGAGAACAGACTGATGAGATTGCACAACACACTGTCCTTTAGGCTAACTGGTCCATTAGTGCAAGTGGGTTCTGAAAACTCTCTTTGCTAGCTTTTTACAAACTCCTCTCTGAGGAGAAGAGTATTCTAAGAGGCTTGGTCAATATAATAAGGAAAGCTAGCTTAACATCCTACCATTGTTCCTGATCACTATCTCACCCTTCGTATGGGATATACCTCATGTTCCACACAATTCCAAGAGAGAGAAAATTTGGAACACAAATCCTGAAGGTATCTTTGTACACCCAAGTCTTCTGGCAAATGTCCTTACCTATATGGGCTGTTGAAAACTCACCAGAAAAACATATTCCCCCATTTGCTGTAAATTTCAACACCAAAGAGAGCACAAATGAGGCTATGAATCCCCTTTCTATTTGAAAGGCTTCTTATTTAGAAGGTTTAGTAGGGTCAGGAGATAAAGACACTGACTGCAGGCTAAACCTGCAGACTTGAAGCCCTATTTAGCTGGATTCTTTATCTTAACTGAGACTAAGGAAGGAAACCTTTATTTGGATAGTTCCTCTTTGAAATTAGGTTGAGATAGCTATGATCCTAGATGTGGGATGTTCTCCCCCTCCTTCTGTTCATTTTTAAATATATTATTTTTGAACTGCTGTTCCTGTTTTAGCTCTTTCAGTAAAATGCTATCTCCTGGCCAGGTATATAACAAATTAAAGCAATTATAGAGACAATTAAAGCAAATAGCTCCTTGACATTAAGGAAGAAAACTCCATTAGCCTGATTATCAACACATATCACTTTCTGTAACATATCTGTGGTATGAAATCAATGCCTTCCAACTAATTTATGCATTATTTTAGTGACATTTTTTCCTTTCTCACTGAACATAAATGAGCAATGTCTTAACATTTTAGCTTATATTTCACTGTATCTAGCAATTTTTATAAACAAAATTATTTAAAAAACAAAATTATTTATTTATTGTGAATAAATTTTAATATAACTTTTTGTTTTGTTTTGTGCAGGTTCTGGGGCTTGAACTCAGAGCCTGGTGCTGTCCTTGAGCTTTTGTGGTCAGGGATTCTGGAGACACAGCTCCATTTCTGGCTTTTTGTGTGTGTGTGTGGTTAGTTAGAGATAAGAGTCTCATGGACTTTCTTTACAAGGCTAGCTCTGAACCATGATCCTCAGATCCCAGCTTCCTGAGTAGTTACAATTACAGACATGTACCACCAGCATGAGGCTTGTACATCACTTGTATTAACTGATCAACACTGCTACTATTGGCTTGCCTGATTATTTGTAGGAATTACCCAAATTCACTCTGAATGTACTGCTTCTTTCCTTATAGAGCCCATCAACTCGGCTCAGTCTACTATATGGTTTCAGGAATAGGATACAAATGAATGGGATTATGGGTCTCTAAGTAACTACATCCCCTGACATCCTTAGCAATCCTCAGCTTTTTCATGAACATATTGCAGAAGGTAAAGTTCTTACCTCAATGTTGCAGAGACAGTCCTCCAACTTTGTAACAACTTCAGAAAACTCAGGTCTTCCCTGCAAATAAAGAAAAGAGTTTTTTTTTCCTCTTAAGAATAAAAGGAAGGAAACTCTTTGGATTTTAAAATTGAGTATTTGCATTTGTAAAGAATGAGATTAGTAATAAAGTATGTTTTTATTTAAAATAACCTTGTATTGAAGTGTTAATTGAATGTTCATTTGCTGTTCCTGGCAGGACACTGAGGCTTCCTCTGATAAGAGTTTTAAGTCAGAATTTGAAACTACATTCAGATAATGAAGTAGTGAAAAGGCTTTAATTAGCTTTGCATGTTTTTAAATGGCAGGTTTTCTTCTTCAAAATGAAAGAATAAAAGTGAATATTAAGAACTATTAACTATCTCAGGGCCTTACGCTGCACATGTATGTAATGGAAAAGAACCATTATATCTAATTTTGTAATTAACTTCACAATGGAGAAGACATCTCACATGTAAAACTAAGGTCAAGATAGAAACCTCAAATCTAAATCTTAGTTTAGGGTTTAAATCTTTTAGTTGCAAAAACTTCAATAAAAGATGTTGGTAACTATGGGCCTTGATGTTACATAAACATTCACTATTCTGATTGTATTTCAAGATTTGTTGCATGTGCAAGCTTATGGATCTACAGGAAGAATTTGGAGAATTTGAGAAAATATTGGTCCCTTTTAAAGAAATTAGATCATTCTTTTGTCAGCTCCTAATGACTATATATCCTCTCATTTCTCCTTTTATGAAATTTTCACTGCCAGGAGGTGGAGAGACCAATTTAACATTCAGGTACAGCATCCAACTAATTTAAATTCTTAGTAGAACAATTTCTCCCTTAATATCCAGCCCTCCCTGAGGACACTGTGGTTCCCCAGAGCCCTCTTATGTGGAAGCTGTTTTCTGGAGCACACTCCTATAAGTTGGTATGATGAGAAGTGGGTAAGTAAGGGCCTATGTCTTTCTTGCTATTACTGCTACTTTGAAACATTTTCTCCCCTAACTATATACCAGCTTGTCATCATTTTCAATGTCTATCTCCCCCATTCTTTGAAAGTTTTAACAACTAGCTCACTCATAAGACTTTCCTGGGCCTTTATTACCCATGATTTTGAATGGCTCTCAAATGATGTCATACATATTCACATGGTCCTTGGCAGAAAAAAATAAAAAGTTTTATACTTCTGGTTCTTTGCCTTCTTTTCTCCAGTAAGTATATCCTCTCTCTCTCCACAGAGTCACTCGAGTCCAGGTTATATCCTAGTCCCTGACTATTTATTAACATGGCCAGAAGAGCCCTCTGTCTTCTCTATCTATTCACTCTCTGTCAGACACTCTACACTCTCTCTTTGCTTGGCTACTACCTTGACTAAATAGTATTTATCTATGTAATATATATATATCTACCAATCTATATAATCCACTATTCCTTCTATTGCTTATCTTATCAACTTTTTACTGTCATTTCATTTTCTATTTTTTTTTGTCGGTTGTGGGGGCTGAACTCTGGGCCTGGGAACTGTCCCTCAGCTCTTCCGCTCAAGGCTAGCGCCCTACCACTTGAGTCACAGCGCCACTTCGGCTATTTTCTGCTTATGTGGTTCTGAGGAATCAAACCCAGGGCCTCATGCATGCAAGGCAAGTGCTCTACCACTGAGCCACCTTCCCAGCCCTTTCATCTCATTTTCTTACTTTTCCATTAGCTAATGAATTTATTAGCTATACTTCCTATTATCACTCCCTTCTACACAGCATGACTCTCTTGCATTTTGTGTACTGTTGAGAAAATTCCTATATTCATTGAATCCAACTGTCCTTATTTTAAAAATATTACCTTCTAATACTAAGTGGATCCTTGGTGCATCACAGAAAGTTTATCACATATTTGTAGCTCACTTACTCTTCCACACCCTTGATGGCTATTTTACACCTTCCATGCTCCCCTCAAAACTCTAGCTCTCACTACTTACTACTTGAACTTTTTTACCTATGTCTAAAGACAATCTGCCTACACTTTTGTTTCTGCAAACAAATTTCTATATGAGGACAACTCCTTCACTGTGAGCTCCAGGAATAATTCTCTCTTCTACTTTTTTGCATAATTACTCTTCTCACTTTCCCTGCCAACATAAAAAAATCTATATATTCTCTCATTTTAAAAGCAAAAAGATACAACTCTTGTGTGGATTCCTCCTCAAAATTCTACTCTACTATTTTGTTCATGTTTACTGAAAAAGTGCTCTAACAAGTTGTCTAAATTTGCTGTCTCTACTTACCCCTTTCTCAATCTCGCCATACAAATCAAGCTTTCTCCTACAACATTCTGCTGAAATATTCTTGCCAAGGGCATAAATACCTCCTCATTGCTAAATTCAAAGTTAAATTTCAGTGTTCATCTCATTAAATAAATGATCATTCTTCTGTTATGTAATTTTTAGTTGAATTTGAAGTTCTCTTATTGGTTCATTAGTGGGATGAACTTCATTTCATACCATCACTCCTTCTATCTTCAAGTGTTGAACTGTTCCAGGACTCAGAATTGGAGCCTCCTAACTCCCCAATTCAGAATCAAACTGTGGAAGAATTAATTCAGGCTCATATCTTAGAACGAAACAGTTATGCAATTTTCCAGAAGTCTATCTCTAGATGAGTGTTCTCTCCTGAATTCTAATACACACATGTACTCAAATGCATTTATAGTCTCTTGTATTTCAGTAAACAGCTATCACTTCCTTGTATATTACAGAGGTCCCAAACCATTGGTTAGATGTGTATCCAATCCCTCAGTAAAACATAAGTTGATCTGCCTTTGAAATACATCTAGAATTTCAGTGGTCAAGTAGCTTATATAACATAGGTAACAACTCTAAATTCTGAAGGCACCGAAGAATAACTAAACCAAGGAAGTCCTGGATGGGAGTAGGAAGAAAGGATATGAAATAAGTTTTCAATCTCAGTTTTCTGAAACAGTTCCTGCCTGCATCTCAAGGAAAAATTAAAATTTTGAGAAATTTACTTTCTTGAAAATGACAGAGGAAAGAATCCAAAGCTGCCAGAGCATAATAACTCTTATTATGTAATAAATGACTTCAGATATCATTGTTTATAATGCATTATAGTACATTCTAGTACAAATTAGCTGGTCCTTTATTGTTGACATTTCCTCATAGAATGTAAATGCTATCAGGGCAGGGGTGTGATGTCCATTCCTCTATCTTCAGTGCCATAAGCAGAGTCTTGCCTACAGAGGCTACTCTAAATATTTTTGAGTCAATGATAGATTAATTTTGTTTTAGTTACATTTTATGTTGTTTGAGGTCTATCACATCGTGTGGGGTGAAGGATTTATTACAAACTGTTTTATGTTTTCTGGTTTTTATTTTGTTTTCTTGGAAAAAAAACAAGCTCATCTAGTATGATGGTACAAAGTCTAGCTACACTGGAGCAGAAGTAAAGGCGTTGTTCAAAACCTGCCCCAGGCAAAAACACAGACCTGATCTGAAAAATAACTGAAGGGGACATGGCTCTATTGTCAGTGTGCTGGCCAAGGAACCATGAGACCTCAAGTTCAAAATATAGCAATAAAAATATTACTGCAGCAAGGAATCCATTATAAATGAATGGGCTTTTTAAACTAATATTTAAATGATGTTCATAATTAAGGGGGATTAGGAAACATAGAAATAATGGTAAATTTTAACACTTACTGAATACTTAGAGTATCTCCTTTTACTCCCATAATAGTCTTGTACTATAAGAATTTCACAAAAATGAAAAAATAAAAAACAAACAAATAATTTAGCAAAAATATTACCACCAGCAAATAGCAGAGCTGAATGCAAAACTAGGTAGGGTTTGTGATCTTAATTTTCCTACATCCTTTTCCCCCCCTAAATGTGGCATCTAAATCTGTAAAGAATAAAATAATTCACTAGTAATTATGTAAGATACCAAACTTGAGATTAACTTCAACTGAACAAAGTTAAAAGACTTGTTTCAATAACCACTAGCTATGTGTCTTTAAATAGTTTATTTATTATTCTGAGCTTCTGTTTCTTTAGCCTCCAATTAGGTTGCAGCTTAAGAAGATTAGATATAGTGATTCATTGCAAACTGGAAAGTGTTTTGCAAAGTAACTTCACTTGTTTTCTAGCTTGTACTAATGGGCATGTCCTGGATATGATTTCTCTCAATTTATGGTCAAATGTTTTAACATTTCATTTTAAATTCTACATAAAATAAGCATTCTGGCCATTTGACTGGCTTCTTATGGGAATCGTTATGTGCTTATTAGAAAGCAGCCATCACAGGAATGCCTCAGGATCTGTATCTCCTGAAAACATGAATAATAAGTGCCAGCATCATGATGTGCACTACTCTCTGCTTTCTTTTCAGGTGGATGGCTCATTCTCTTTGCCATAATGCTGCGGTTGGTGGCAGCATGCCCTGAGTCCTGTGTGGTATGCTCTAGAGATGTAACCCTCTGTCACCAGCTAACCTACATAGTAGGTAATATAACCAACAACCCTAAAAAGCAGAGTGGGCAGAGTGTCTAGCCAACTCATGGCCATTGCCTGTCATTGTATTGACTGCTTTCTGTCTCCAGTATGAAAGAGGCAAACTTTTACGGATTCTACCTTTTACAGTGACTAAGGAGACTATGAACAGTATTTTATTTTCTTCTTCCCGATTATCTCAACTAATAGAGTAGTAAGACTTTCAGAGGTAATAAAGATGCTTTCATTGCAAAAAGTTGTGCCACTTAATACAGCTACATACTCCACAAAACAAACAAAACTTCGATTATTTTAATTCTGGTTTTGCCCATACTTTGTTCACATTTGAACCCTTTCACCAGCTGAAAAAATTTGAATGAATCAGAAACCTGAACTGAAATTGTTCAGCATTAGTAAGATTAAGTGATGTACCAGTGAAACAGATTATTATCACAGTACATCTCATTTTGAAAGTCTGGTCTTTTTTTATTGGTGGTAAATGAGCTGTAGAAATGCTAACAAGATACACTGCCTG